ATCCATGATACAACACCACCAACCTAACCGACGCTCTTTTCCCTTGCATGCAAGAAACTATTTATGCACAAACGCAGAAACACAAAACGCAGAAACGCAGAATTATGCAAGAAACGCAGGAACTATTTACGCATTTAGTGATTTGGCTGCTGCCGCTTAGCGCAAAAATGCATAATCCCCACGTGCGGCCCTTCCTTTTTGTGCGTTTTTGCTGTGCACTGTTGCAGCCAGCAAAAACGCGTGTTGTCCAGAGGTCGTCTATGTGTGTGTGTGTGTTCGGAAGCGAGCGAACTTTGTCACCCACTTTCATCTCAGCAACCAAGAAAGCAAAAAGTTGGGACGCTAAAATTTTGGTTATATTTTCCTACACGTGTGTCATCCTCCCGTTTTAAAATTTTCGCTCATACGCACCTAGACCCCGCTTACGGACCACCGAAAAAAGTATGCAGATTTCTTTGGCGGAAAACGATTTCACGAACCAGGCAAGATACAAAGCTGAAACTTTGCAGAGATATTCCCTGTGCATGTGCGAGCTAAAGATTCCAAACTCAACTGTCGCGCACGCCTGTGCAGCGCGTACGACTAAGTCAAAGTTTGTAAATTTATACCGTGCTAACTCGAAAACTTGCTGAAAAATAGTGGCAGAAATTTTACAAGCGTGTTTGTCGCCCGTATGAGAAATCGTTTGCCTATTTGCCCTGCGCCACGACTTAGGGCACATCTCAGAAAAACAAGTAAATTTTCTGGCGGAGAAACGATCCTGGGAACTAGGCAAGGTGGAGAGGTGAAGCTTAAGTTCTCCATCCAAGTAAAACTTCAAATTCAATCCCCAGGAATGCGTAGTTCTCGCGTTCGATACGCAAAATTTTGGTGGGAAAATTACTTACTAAGTCACCTTCAAAAACGACCGATAAACGGAAATTCATTTTTATGTGTTTTTGCTGTTCAGCTCTGCAGGGCTGCTACAGTAAGCAACTTATTCGAAAAAACACCGGCTGCCGGTGCGAAGATGGGTTTTTGTACAGCTCCGTCGCAGGTTTTTGTTACTAATGGCACTGTTTTTTCCGGCAGATGCTTCTAGCTAAGAGAATTAAGAGAAACCACCACGACTGTTAAAAATCATTGGAGACGCGCAGTGGCGGGCTGCGCGATCATGCGTTTTTGCAACATTTCATGCGGTAATGAGATCGCCCTGAACTCAGTAGCTAGAAATGTGTAATGTACTGGTCCTCGAAATTTGGGAAGTGTGAACGGGAAACAATTCGTTGAAATTTCAGTTTTCCAAATTTTCTGGTTCTTGAATTAGTAATTTTCCTGCCAAAAATTTTCATCGGGTCGCACTTGAGAACCACGCATTCTCGGGAGCTGAATTTGATAAATTTAAGTCGTACGTGGGCTGACATCATTTCCTGAAAATTTCAGCTCTCCAGCTTTCCTGGTTCTCGACTCAGCCATTTCCGCGCCAAAAACTATTCACGGGGCCGTATGTGATTACCACACAAGCTGAAACGCTGAGTTTGATAAATGTAAGTTGCACTTGTGCTGGGAGTATTGCCTGAAAATTTCATCTCCTCAGCTTTTCCGGTTCCTGAGTTAGCGATTTTCGCGCCAGGAACCCTCACTGGGCCATACGCGGGAACCACGCATAACTGGAGGCCGAATTTGAAATCATTAAGTTCTATGTACACAAGGAACATAACCTCAAAATTTCAGTTTTCTAGCTTCTCTGGTCCCCAAGTTAGCGGTTCTCCCGCCAAAACTTTCACTTCCTCGAATGCGGGGCCCAGACTTGCATGATGGTTGGTACCGCGGTCCTGAAATAGTATCTGGCTGGGGAACCCATCTGCAAAATTTTGGCGCAAGAGCTTGCTTGGGTGCCGAGTTGAAATACCTAGACAGACGCACACACACACACACACGGGCACACACACACATACACACACACCGGGGTCGTCACAATATGCGGTTTCGCATTCACATATATGGAAAAACGCATAATTATTACAATGGCTCCCAATCCATGCCCAAAAAATTCAGCACTCTTGATCCTTCGATTACGGAGTTATGTCAATTTTATCTTGTTCATACGTGAGTGGTAATGTGAATGCTGCCTTCGCGTGCGGTTACTCAAACACGTTCCTGGGCAGCGCTCAGAAACTTTCAGCACTCTAGCTGCTCTGGTTGTGGAGTTACGTCAAATTTCACGTGTGTGTCCGTGAGACGTGAAAGTGGTGTGCAAGTCGTTTTTGCGTCCATCTGGTTAAAGACCACCATCAGTCATGCTCAGAAAGTTTCGGTCCTCTAGCTGCTTCAGTTCTGAAGTTGCAAAGGTGCGTGCGTGAAATTTTTACGTGTCCGCAAGTGAGATGCAGAAGGGCTGAAAACTCAATTTACTTTCACGAGCGCAACAGTGGACGACAAGCAGCGCTGCAGAATTGCAGCTATCTGCAGCTTCTTAGTCAAATTTAATCTGGCATTGGCATGATGCCAGTTTAGACTTTGACGTGTGTATACGTGAAACCTAGGAATGCGTGAAGGCTGAATTTGAAATCTTTGGATTAGACGTGGCCAAGGAACATCTTTGTGAATTTCCAGCCTCCTAGCCTGTGCCGTTCCCGAAAGCATTTTCCCGTCAAAAAAAACTTCACATGCCCGTGCGTGAGAACCATGCGGACCCGAGCGTCCATTTTGAGGATAGGAGCCCGCAATTATGTGTAGACCAAGCTACCAAACTTTCAGCTTTGTAGCTTTTGTAGATCTCGAGATGAAAACTCGTCACGGACGTACACACAGATACACATACACACAGGCAACTTCTTGACACTGTGCGTTTCTTTTCTCATAAAAGGTCGTCCGTGTGTGTGTGTGTGTGTCTGTGCGTGCGTGCGTTCGGAAGCGAGTGGACTGTGTCACCCACTTTCAACTCAGCAACCAGAAAAGCTGGGAGGCTGAAATTTTGGGAACATATTCCCACCCCCATGTGGCACTCTCCCGTTTTAAAATCATCGTTCCTACACACCTAGATCTCGTGCACGAACTTTCAAAAGAAATATGTCAATTTCTTCGGCGGAAGCGACTTCTGCAATCATGCAAGATAGAAAGCTAAAACCATATAGGTACTCTCCGTGTATTAATGAGCTAAAGATTTTGAATTCAGCTATCGCGCACTCTTGTACTGCGCCTACAGTTACATCAAAATTCACATTTAGCACTGTGCCAATTCGAAAACTAACCGGAAAAGAGTAGACGAAATTTTGTCAGTATATTTGCTGTTCATCAGGGATATCTTATACCTAAATCGAGTTCCGATTTGCACTTGCGCCGTGACTTAAAATACTCCAAATATATTTGTAACGAAGTGCAGGGATATTCTGCATTCATAAACAGAATATCTCTGCAATTCGCTACAAATACATACTTAATTCAGCTTAGAGGTGAAATCCCCTGCACGCAGACATGACAAATATTCAATTTTATCGCAAGCTTAAAAGCGAGTGAATTTTGCGAATTTCACAGTCCCCTTGCGACTCCTTTCAAATTTTTTTTTTTT